TGACGATCTCTAATTGGTCTTTTAAAACCAGATCAGGTTTCCCTGCTGGCCAGAGGCTCCTCTTGCAAAATTCCCTCGTTCTGTTTCCTGGCTCCTGCCAGGGGCCAAGATCCCTCTCACCCCTCAGACGGGTCTTCAGGAAAAGAACCAGGTTCCCTGTTTGCCCGGGACCTCGCCAACCAAAGGCCTACCTCTTTGATTTAATTGTCCTGGGTTTTTTTGCTCTTGGTGTTGCCCTGGTCCCTGTCGCCTGCGTTGTCTGCCACTGTGTCAGTACCCGCCGGTCCCGGCCGCTGCGCCAGCTACGTCGCCCGCCGTGCGCGTCAACTTTTGCCGCTCTTATCTTTCCCCTTTTATATGTGTCTCCTTCACAGATTGTTTGAAATGAAACCGAAAGTAGAACTGTCATTACTCTTAAATATTTTCAAGTGCATCTCCTAAGAGTAAGGGCACTTTTTCCTAATATCATAACACTACTTTCACAAACAAAAAATTATAATTAGTGCTATCACATCATATTCAGCCTTGTTTAATTTCCTCAATTTTATACATATTTAAAATGGATCCATTTTAGATTTGAGTACTATACTTAGTTGAGTTGGCTCTGGCTTTTGTTCTCAAAGGGGAACCTTCATCCTGGATTTACCTGATTTTGTGTTCCTACTTGTTACTAAACATGCTCCTCCAGTCTTACATTTCTTATAATTTGGGCCTAAAGAATTTATTATACTCAGGTAAAATATTGTTACATGATTGCTTTGTTCAAGTTGTGTGTTTCATACTGAGTCATGGGAGAAGACACATGACATCAGGTCTTCCAGAGGTCAGTTCCATTGTGTCTGGTCATCTTGTTAAGGGATGGCTTCCAGGTTCCCCACGGAAATGATCCAAGTGTTTTGACTTTTCAATTAGTAAGGAGTTTTTAGGGCAATTGATTTTTCAAAAGTTTTGCTCAGTAGATGAAATTTTAAAGTTGCAAGAACAAGGCCTGCTTGGGTCAGCACCACGTTCTCTGTGTGTATGTTATTACTGTTCATTTGGTGCTTCTGTGGGACTCCTCACAGTTGGAGTGGGTGTAACCTCTGGCTTTTTTGCCTGCTCTTGGGACTCTTTTCCTCCTGTTGAGTTGTGTTGACCAACCTTGCTGAGGGCTTTCACTTACAAAACAACATAGTATCTTGTTTTGTCCTGTTTGGCTGTCATTTCTAGTAGGTCTGGTCTTTTCTGAAGAGGAAATGAAAAGGAGGTGGATCTTGGACAGAAGGGAGGTAGTGGGTAGTTGGGAGGAGTGGAGAGAGGAGAAAATGTGGTTAGGATGTATTATGTCAGCGAAGATTCTATTTTCACTGAGAAATATTTTAGAAAATATTTATTTTATTATTTTTATCTTTATGTAGGTATAAGCGGCATGTGGATGTCTGGTGCCCGTGGATGCTTAGAAGAGTGTACCAGCTCCCTCGGAACTGGGATTACAGACTATTGTGAGCCACCATTTGGCTGCTTTGAACTGAACCCAGGTCCGTTGTAAGAGCAGCTGGTGTTTCCAGCCCCTCACAATATGTTTTTAAGTATCAATTAATGATGCCTAATCAAGTAAGTTTTTGTACTTACTAAGTTGCTAAATGGGGGATGGAGAAATGGTTCAATGGTCAAGTGCTCATACTGCTCTTGCAGAGGACTTGAATGTACTTTCCAGCATCCACATCAGAGAGATCACAGTCATCTGTAACTAACTCTATGGGTTCTTATACCCTCCTCTGATCTCTATGGACATTCATGGGCATTACTTATGTGCACACATGCATGCGTGTGCACACCCCCCCAATAAAACAAAACAAAGGTAACAATAAAATATTAAGAATCATGTTTATCTTGATTTACACTTGTTAATGGATGTTGTTTATACAGAAATTCCTCCCCCCTTTTCTGCCTTTTTTGAGTTTTATTAACTACTCAAAGAATTTATTTTTGAGGCTGGGTCTTTGGTAGCTCAGGCTGATCTCATAACTCACTATGTAGCTGAGAATGACCTTGAACTCCTGATCCTCAAGCCTCTGCCTCCCAAGTGCTAGGATTACAGGTGCCACTGTGCCTGATTTATGTGGTGCTGTGGATGAAACCCAGGACTTTCAGTATACTAGGTGATCACTCTGCCAGCTGAACTAATCCCCATCCTCTGAAGGAATTACTAGTCTTTCTAATACTATGATTAATTATAGCCATTATTCTCTCTGGTGACCATTTCCTATAGTTTAACATTAGGAGGCCACAGATTAGGATCACAATGTCCCTTTATCATGAATCAGTTGATTTTTGAGTTAGTTGCTACTCCTTTGACACGAACTATCTCAGGTGGCCTCATAAACCTCTGCCCTTAGTATAGATCCAGTCATTTCTGCAGGATGCCTGATTTCTTACAATGGGGACACTATCTAGAAATTAAGATCTGAGTGCTAGATCTACTACTTAGATGGTATTGTTTTGGTACTCTTCCAATAAGTAGAGCTCAGAAAAACAGTAAAATCTGTGTGCTTTCCTTTACGTAAATATAACATCACAGGCTTTTCAAAGCTCCTTTTATGAATTTTGTTGTAGCACTGGGCAATGTTGTCATCTGTCATCATTAACATAGCCATTTACCTGATCTGAGAGAATTCATCATTTTTAAAGCGTGATATCAATGCCAGTGATGCGCATACAGGGGGGAGTCCTTGTCTTTATTGTTTCTTTTGCTTTTAGTCTGTAGCACAATAAGAGCAGCCAGTTTACAGTACTTGAAAAAAATTCCTTTCTTTCAGCGCTTAACTGTTTTGTATGGTTAAGATCATTTGTTTCTGTTTTGTTTTCATTTTATGTTTTTCTTTTAGAATTAATAAAACTTTTGAGCAGATAAACCATTGACATTATTAAAGTTATTGTCTGAGCTTTCTGTACCCTGCTGCTTTGTGACACTGTGTCTAGAAGTCAGCAAACTATACCCTGCATCCTTCCCTCTGCCCTCCCTTCCCTGCTTATCTTTCTCTCTTCTTTGCCTTTTCTTTTTCTTTCTAAACCCATGACCCCTCTGCCTGTGTCTCCCATGAGCTCGGATCACAGAAAGGTACTGCCATGCTGGGCTTTGCCATGGTTTTTAGGATGCTGCATAGATGACAAATGCTTCCCTGCTGCTTCTCAATTTCTGCTTGTGGGGCTCTGTGCCTGGTTTTGTTCTTGTGCTGCCACACCAGCTTCTGTCCTCATACATGTTACCTCAGGTTCTGTCCTCATACATGTCACCCAGGTTCCATCCTCATACATGTCACACAGGTTCTGTCCTCATACATGTCACCCAGGTTCTGTTCTCATACATGTCACCCCAGGTTCTGTCCTCATACATGTCACACAGGTTCTGTTGTCCTCATACATGTCACCCCAGGTTCTGTCCTCATACATGTCACACAGGTTCTGTTGTCCTCATACATGTCACCCAGGTACTGTCCTCATACATGTCATTCCATCTTCTGTCCTTGCACATATTACCCCAGTTGCACTGTTCAGAAATCCAGTAAAGCTTTCTTTTCCATAGTCATTGATAAAAATTAAAAAATAATTGATATAACTGGCTATTCTGTATTAAAATTTCTCTAATGATTATAAAGAAATATATCTAAGCCATAACCATGGTTAACTTATTACCTAGTTAATAATTCTTTGCACTAAATTGTTTCTTTTTAAATATTGTTGTGGTGGTGGTGTGAATGAGAATGGCCTCATAGGCTCATCTGTTTGAATACCTGTCCCTAGTTGGCAGAATTATTTAGTAAGCATTAGGAGGTGTGGCCTTGTCACTGGAGTAGGGGGATTTGAGGTTTGAAAGGTCCAGTTCATTCCAGTTCACTCTTCTTCTATGCCTTGTGATTGCTGTCTCAACATGTGAGTTTTCACCTACTGTTCCAACACCATGCCCGCCTGCCTTCTGCCATGCTCCCTACCATGCTAGTCATATACTAATTCTCTGAAACTGAACACCCCAATCAACTCTCTCTTTTATAAGTTGCCTTGGTCATGGTGTCTTTTCATTCAGGTTGTTTATATGATATATATTACATTATTTTTTATATATTACATTATTTATTTATGTATGTTGAACCATCCCAGCATCTCTGAGATGAAGTCTACTTGACTATGGTGGATGATCTTTTTGATGTCTTCTTGGATTCAGTTTGCAAGTATTTTATTGAGTATTTTTGCATCAGAGTTCATGAGGGAAATTTGTTTGTAATTACCTTTCTTTTTGGGTTGTTATGTGGTTTGGGTATCAGGGTAACTGTGGCCTCATAAAATTAATTGGGCAGTTTTCCTTCTGTTCTTCTGATGTGAAATAGTTTGATGAGGATTGATACTAGCTCTTCTTTGACAGTCATGTAAAATTCTTGCCAAAACCGTTTGGTCTTCGGCTTTTTTTTTGGATTAGGATACTTTTAATGACAGCTTCTATTTCAATAGGGGTTAGATGTCTACTTAAATTGCTTATCTTGATTTGATTTTTGTAAGTGGTATGTATTGAAAATATTATTAATTTCTTTTAGATTTTCCAATTTGGTGGAGTACAGGTTTTTGCAATATGACCAAACTATTTCTTGGATTTCCTCAGTGTTTCTTGTTATGCCCCCCTCTTTGTTTCTAACTTTGTTAATTGGGATATTCTCTCTCTACCTTTAGTTAATTTGGATAAAGGTTTGTCAGTCATTGATTTTCTTCAAGAACCAACTTTGTTTCATCGATTCTTGTATATTTTATTTGTTTCCATTTTATTTATTTTAGCTCCAAGTTGGATTATTTCTTGCTATATTTCTAACCCTTTGGTTGTGATTTCTTATCTATTTCTAGAGTTTTCAGTTGTGCTCTTAAGTTGTTACTATAATATATCTCTAATTTGTTTTTTATATGGGCATTTAGTGCTATGAACTTGTCTTTTAGGACAGCCTTCATTGTGTCCCATGAGTTTGTTTATGTTGTGTATTTATTATGTTAAAATGCTATACCAACTTTCTTCTTAGGTCTCTTTGTTTGGAAAATATTTTTCAACCTTTTTTTTATTCTCAGGTAATATCTATACTTGATATTGATATGTGTTTCTTGAATGTAGCAGAAAGATAAATCCTATTTTTGAATCCATTTTGTTAGTCTGTTTTTTTTTATTGAGAATTGAGACATTGATCTAGAAAAATATCATCGACCAATTATTGTTGGTTACTTTTATTTTATTGTTGTTCTTGTTGTTGATGTTGTGTATGCAAGTGTGCGCTCCCTTTCTTTTGACTTTACTGGTCTAAGATTATTTATGTTTTGCATATAGTTAACTTTTTTAGGTTGGGATTTTCCTCCTAGCACTTTCTGCAGTGTTAGATTTGTAGATAGATATTACTTAAAATTTGGTTTTATCATGGGAAATTTGTGGTGATTGAAAGGTTGGCTGGGTAGAGTAGGCTGGACTGATATCTGTGATCTCTTAGAGTCTGAAGCACAACTGTCTAAGCCATTTTGGGTTTCAGAGTCTCCATTGAGAAGTCAGGCATAATTCTAATAGGTTTGCCTTTATATGGTACTTTTTCTTTTTTCCATGTAGCTTTTAATAGTCTTTTTTTGTTCTGTATGTTTAGCATTTTGATTATTATGAGGTAAGGGTACTTTCTTTTCTGGTCCCTTCTATTTGGTGTTCTGTATACTTCTTGCACTTTGGTAGACATCTCCAACTTTAATTTAGGGAAATTTTCTTGAAAATGTTTTCTGTGCCTTTGGCTTGTGTATCTTCTTTTTTCTCTCTTCCTACTATTCTTAGATTTGATCTTTCCATAGTTTTCCAGATTTCCTTGATGTTTTGTGCCAGGAATTTTTTAGATTTAACATTTTATTTGACGAGTGTACTGTTTGTTCTATTGTGTCTTCAATGCTTAAGGTTTCCCACTTTCATCTCTTGTATTCTTTTGAATATGAGAAGCTTTTCTCTGTGGTTCCTGTTCAAGTTTCTAAAGTTCTTACTTCCAGGTTTAGACAGAAGTTTCTGTCCTGCCTGGTCCTGCAGCTATTTAGTCCCAAAGAAACACATGGAGGCTTATATTAGTTATAAACTGTTTGGCCTATTAGCTCAGGCTTATTATTAAATAGCTCTTATAACTTAAATTAACCCCTAGTTCTTTTCTATGTTTAGCCACATGGCTTGGTACATTTTCTTAGTGCAGCATTTTTATATTTTTTCCTCTGTGTGAGTGGTGACTGCAGACTGAAATTTTCCTCTTCCTGGAATTCTTCTAGTTTGGTTACCCTGCCTATACTTCCTACCTGGCTACTGGCCAATCAGCATTTTATTAAGCCAATATGAGTGATAAATCTTTACAGGGTACAAGATCATTATCCCACAACATCCAGGTTTGCTTCAATTTACAAATCAATAGATTTCTATTGATTCTTTTTCCACTTTTAGATCTTAAATAGTTTTATTCATTTCCTTCCACTATTTGTATTTTGACATATTCTTTAAAAAGGGAGCTTTATTTGTTTCCTCTTTAATGATCTCTATCATATTCATAAAGATTAAAGTCTTTTTTTGTGCTTCAAATATTTTGACCTACTCAGGGACTGCTGTGGCAGGGTTCCTAAGCTCCAGTGGAGACATATTGCCCTTGCTGTTATTGATAGTGTTTTTATGCTGGCATCTAGGAATCTGGGATTGGGAAGATTGAAGATTGTAATTCTAGGTGTTGATATATAGTATTACATTTATTAGGTGAGTGTTTTGTTCCTTAGTTTCTGTTTTCTGTCTGGTTCTTAAGGAGAGTGTGGTAGCTGTCTGTTGCCTGTAAGAAAATCTTCTGGGATCATGATAAATGTAGTCACTGGGGGTTCTAGGTAAAATATGCTTTTGTTTCCTTGGTAGAAGTGCTCTTCTTAGTCTTACAAAGTCACTTCATGAAAGTAATAAGTTCTGAAACCTTCCAGTGAAGATCTATTATAGATCCCAAAATACCCTTCTCATTCCTGAAATATCTGTTCATCTGAAATCAAGCCTTTTGTCCATTTTTCTTTGTCATTCTTTTTTGTGATGCATATATAATATATGTAATATGTTCAGTTCATTTTATATATAAGGAAGAGTGAGCTGGAGAGCTATGCAGAAGATTTCCAACACAAGGGTTTTCTCTGTGGTGGAGTATTCAGGGACCATGCTGGTATGCTAGGAGTTGCTCCATATGTTTGATGAAAAGGTCAACTTCAGAGGATTAACACCCATTTCTCGTAGCTGTTGTTAGAAGAATTCTTTTTCCTGTAACCATATGCCAGGATACTTTTGTGTTAAGAATGAAGGCTTTCCTACATTCTCAATGGTGAAGCTCAAACACAGGCCATGAGCATGCTAAGTAAGTGCTGTATTTGTGAGATACACCCCTTGCCTAGGTGTCTTGCTGAAAATGCAATTTGTGAATTGGGAAACTATTAGTATATATAGATTTAAATTATTCCCCCTTGCCTTCAAGAGGTCTGTAAAACTGAATTGTCCCTCTTGTTTTATGTCCCACATTTGCTCTCACACTTAACTATGTCTTTCTTCCAACAGTACACAGTTTTTATAGAGATATTTTTTCCTCCCCCACAGTTCTCATGTACAATATAGTCCAACTCCAATATTATCCTGGGAAACATATGAGGTTCTCTATGCATTTCTGGCCTATATTTTATTATGAGCTTATACTATTTATTTCTTGGCTGTCATTTCAGTGTGTTTTGGATAGAAACAGAAGAAGATCACCTGTTCAAACTATGAAGCTGGAACCAGATGTTTGTTTCCCACTAATCTAGGAAGTCAGGTCATATGAGTTTTATATTACTGCTGGTCTAGTAAGTATTATATTTTGAACTTGGCTCAGTCTTGGTCAAGTAAATTGATCCTGTATTTGTAAAATTTGCTGGTTTTCAATTTTTATTTAGTATAATGAGTGAAAATCCCTAAAAGGGGGCTTAATTCACTTTATTTCTCTCATATAAAAGTTTACAGGGGTAACCATACTGGATCTTGCACAGAGATCCTAGTGTGAGTTTTGCAAGATGGTCAGTTAATTACTGATAGGCAAACTTGGTAAATAATGTCTCTTTCCAAAGACTGTGACAGAGGTACCTGTAGGTCTCTGAGATGGTAAAAATGATAGTCTTGGGAAGGATGCCCAGGATGGTAGTATAGGTGCTGGCCTAAGTGTAGCAGTCATCAACACCAAGCACAAGAAGAAGCTCCGTACATACAGAGGCTGTGATAACACCAGACTCAGATGAGGGCAGGGTAATACTTCCATTTCCTTCACTTTTCATGTGCGGGTGTTCAACTGTCTGTTACTGTTTTCCTATTAATCTCTCTGCACAGACCAATGGAAAGTTTGGTAAAAGTGACAGGACTCTGACAGTGATGACCCCCTCTCTGGAGTACTGGACACCCTTACCAACATGACTGTTGTAGTGACCAATGGTGACAAACACCTTGAATCTGTTTGCTGGCTGGTACAAGTTTGTTTATATATTATTCTGACATGATCTGTAAAGCCACATCCTTGAGAAATGACCAAGGGATCAATCTGCATTTCAGATTTCGTAATGAGCAGGGGAAACAAGTAGCTCTCTTCTGGGATAGGTGATCCAGCCTGGTGATGGGATGCACTTCATACATCTGGCCTTGGCCTCGATGCTAATATGCTGAGAGCCTCACCTAAAGATGATTGTTTCTTTAAGTGGAGGCTTTGAAATGTGGCTTAGTCATGAGGTTAGAATCGCCATCCCTGTGGTTAATGCCTATCCTAGTCCATTTTGTGTTGCTATAAGATAATGCCCAAGACTGAATAATTTATGAACAATGGAAATTCACTTGTCATGTGGCTCCAGAAGCAAGGAAGTTTAAGGATGTGGTGCTGATGTCTGGCAAAGGCTTTCTTGTTATGGCATCTTATGATAGAAGGCAGAAGGACTAGAGAGTGTATGGGACAGAGAGAAGATGGTGAGAAACTCGCCTTTGATCAAGAACTCACTTTCGAAAAAAATAAATGACCCTCCAATTATGCCATTAACCCACTCAGGAGAACAGAGCCTTCCACAAACTAATAATCTCAGGATCTTATCTCCTTAGTATCATCATAGTGCAGTTAAATTTCAATACGAATGTTGGAAAGAATATTCAATTCATACTAGTATCTTTTTTTTTTAAAATCAGCCCCAGAGATCTAGCTAGCTCCTCCAACCTAAATGAAAATGTAACTAAAAGACATGTTTATGACCCAGGAAATGAGCCTCCATGAGATATTGAGTTAGCGCTCCATTGATCTTTGCCTTTTTTGGCCTCCAGAATGGTAAGAATTTTGTTAACTTTACTGAATTAAGAAACACCTAAGAGAATAATAAAACACACCTGTGATATCTGTAATTGTGTTTTCAGAGGTAATTAGAACTTCCATAATGAGATCATTGATCCTTTCACATATTCATAACATGATGACCTAATTTTGAAATGATGAACATGAGGGTATGGTGAAAAACAGTTGGAGGGAGTAAGTCACTGGGACCATGTCCTATTCAGCTGTTCCAGTGGTTCTCAATCATCCTAATGTTTAATACAGTTTCTCATGTTGTGTTGACCTCCAACCATAAAACTATTTTAGTTGCTAATTTATATCTGCAGTTTTGCTGCTGTTATGAATCATAATGTAAATATGTTTTTTTAGGAGGTATAGGTTTGCCAAAGGAGTCAAGACCCACAGGTTGAAAACTGCTGAGCTATGTCTTTTTTGTATTTATTTACTTTTCTCAGCTTCTTGGCCATGCAAACTAATATGTAGTGCCTATAAACCACATGTTTATGGTATTCTATTCTATTTGTCTAAATGGGCTAAGACAGGTTTATGAGTGTCTTAGCTCCTGCTAGTTGGAAAAGCTGTGTCAGTCTGGACTTAGTCAACAATGAAGACATTTGAAGATTTGGATGGAGATGTGCACTACACTTCTAAGATGATTCCTTCACAGTACCAGAAATTTCTGGCTGGTTAGACCTTAGTTCCTCAGCACAGGAAACTTTCCGTTCTGCTTGATTATCCTTTTGACACAGTAGTTGGATTCCTCCTGAACCCATGACCCATGAGAGAGTCATGCTGAAGCTATCATGTCTTTTATAACAAATCTTGGAAATCAATGATCATTTCCTCAATATCCCATTGGCCACACAGGTCAATTCTTAGTCAAGATGAGAGAGAAATCCACAGGGCATGAATATCCCAAGATACAGGCATCACTTTAGAATCTGGTAGCTACAGATGGACAGGAAAAATTCAGACAGATGGTTCATGTAGGAAGTAGCATACAATGCTGAAGAGTTTCTGATCATGAAGGGCTGATTAATGACATGGAAGGATCTCTGTATACAAAAGGCCAAATCACTGTCTTTACCTAGTAGCAATAAGAAAACTCTGTTTTAGAATGAATGCTTTTCAAAAAGAACTTAAATATTTGTACAAAATGACTGTTCTTTAATCCCAGTATTTATTCAATAAATATTCATAGTGGCACATATTATGTTGGACAGGAACTACACAAATTTACTTAATTCTCAGATAACATTTCCATTTTATTTAATATTAGATTATTATTTTATTTTGTAGGTGAAGCAACTGAGCCTAGGATAGTGTGGGGTGGTTTGAAAGAAAATGACCCCTGAAGGGAGTGTCACTATTAAAAGATATGGCTTTTGAAGTAGGTATGGCCTTGTTGGAGGAAGTGTGTCACTGTGGGGGTGGGCTTTGAGGTCACCTATGCTTAAACTAGACCCAGAGAAACAGTTTACTTCTTGTTGCCTGTGGCTCAAGATGCAGAACTTTCAGTTCTTTCTCCACTACCATATCTGCTGCCATGCTGCCATGTCCTGTCATGATGATAATGGGCTTAACCTCTGAAACTGTAAGATACCTTAATTACATATTTTGTTTTATAGGAGTTGCCATGGTTATAGTGTCTCTTCACAGCAGTAGAAACCTTAACAAAGACAGAAGTTGATACCATAGACTGAGGTATTGTTGTAATAAGTTTGATCATGTTTTTGTTTGGAGAAATTTAGACTTTGGTACTTTGGGTAAGGAAAGCAGTGAATGCTTGAAGCCCTGCGTAATGGGCCATACTAGTAGGAGCATGGAAAACAATGGTTCTGACAATGATTTGAACTTTGGGGGCTGGCTCAAGAGGTTTTAGAGAAGAGTTTTAATATGATGCTTAGAGATCTTTCTTGTGATGTTTTAGTGAAGAAAGTTGCTGTTCTTTTTGCTTTTGTATGAAGAGTCTGACTGAGCCTAAAGTGAAGAGATTTGAATTGCTTCCTTTACTAGTGTGCATGCTCATAAAGATTTATAATGAACAGCTGAGCAAAGAAAAACCCCAATTGTACAATCAAGAGAAAAGGAGTACCAGGAAGTAGAATGGAGCTAAGTTCTGTGTTTAGAGCGATAAACAGATTAAGAAATTAATAAAGGGAATAGTGACCTCAGGGTAAGATCTCACCTGGCTAAGTTTCCAATTTGGGCAAAGGAACTAAAAAAAAGTTTAGATTTGGGTGTGGTGGTATACATCTTTAATCCCAGCATAAGAAGGCAGAGGCTGGTGGAACTCTGAGTTTGAGCCCATTCTTGTCTACAGGGCAAGCTTAAGGTCAGTTTAGCTTAGGCAGTGAAGGAAACCATAGAAAACAGAAAGCTGGTGAAGACATAATTGAATGGGGTGGGTCATGTTCCAGCCCCAACAATGATCAGAACTTGGCAGCTTTGGCCACGTGGTTTTAATTTAGAGTTAAAGATAGAAGAAAGGGGTTAAGGAAACTTGCCTTTAAGGCTAAAACACCCCCTGAGGCCAGGTGTGTTTCAGGGGTGTCCCTGAGTAGAGGCTAGAGAGGTCGTTGTGTGAAGTTGTGAAGTTGAAGCCTGGATTGCCTTGGAGACTCCAAGATTTGGAGATGCCAGAGCCATGATATACTAACAAGGGAAGCTACTAACAAGGAGTAGAACCAGCTCAACAGAAAGAAGTGGGTTGTAGTCAACAAAGCTGAAAGGTGTTGGAGTTCTGAAGAGAATTTTGACATCAGACATGGAGATGCAGTGTTTGGAGTTTGCCCAGTTGGATTTTGGTCTTGTTTTGATCCAGTATTTCCTCACTATGCTCCATTTTCTATGTTTTGGAATGGTAATATATTGTGTGTCCTTGTATGGTGTATGTGATTTGATTTTTTACTTTGATTTTAAAGGGGATTACAGTTAAGAGATTGCATGAATCTCAGAAAAGACTTTTAACTTTAGATTTTTAAAGAAGTGTGATACTGTTACAGATTATTTGAAGTTGGACTGAATGCATTTTTGCATTATCATATGGCTAAAAGCCTTTGGGGGCCAGGAAGGGAAATAGAGTAGTTTGAAAGAACATGGTCCCCAAAGGGAGTGGCACTAAGGTAGTTGTGGCCTTGTTGGAATAGGTATGTCCTTGTTGGAGGAAGTATGTCACTGTGGGGGCGGGCTTTGAGGTTTATCAATGCTCAGTCTACACCCAATGAGGCAGTTCACTTCCTGTCACCTGCAGATCAAGATGTAGCTTTTTCTCTGCTCTTAGCTCTTTCTCCAGCATCATGTTTGTCTGAATTCTGTCATGTCCTGACATGATGATATGGACTAAACCACTGATACTGTAAGCTACTCAATTGAATGTTTTCTTTTATAGGAGTTTTCACTGTCATGGTATCTCTCCACAGCGATAGAAATGCTAACTAAGAGAGGTGACCAGGCTGTCTCTTAACTCAGAAGAGGCAGATTTGAGTTTTATCATTTAGTTCTGTG